ACTCCTTCACCTGGGATAGACATTGCAGACTATGAGGGCACCTAAATGCTTGTTCAGCTGTATCAATGCCAGTTTTCAATGAAAGACTGATTTATACATTTTACACGTGTTGATCATTCTCGTTGTATTCTCGTTATTTGTTTGAAACATTTCGCATATTCAGATTCCATTGAATGTTTAAACCAGTGCTAATCCTTGTTGTGTTTGCCTATGAGATTAAGTCAGTGTGTGTGTGTATTGGGGGGAACCAGCTAAGCACAACAATAGTCCGCGATGCCCGCAGAGTCGACACTAATTTTGGGTGGTAAATCTTCATTTGTCGACTTCCCGGGATTGAACCCGTCTTGCACGTGGGCGATCGGCACTTCATTATTGTGCTGGGGACATCTCTACGGTCTGGAAGTGGCAATGGAAACATTCCACCAGGTACCATCCCAATGTTGTTGTGCAGTCGTGAGTCGTGTCAGGATGTGCGGTTTATAAGCCTTTTATTTATTTTAACATCAAACGCCAAACAATTAAGTTTCGGTGTTTTTTAAATTCATATCCCCCACGCAGTATATCGAGAGACACATGCACAGACTTGCTGCATGTTCCTACAACCAATGACGTCACGGAACGGAACACTTATATGTATTCAATTCAATTCCCTTATTACTGCCTTTGCATCTGTATTTTTGTACATATGTAGTTCCAATATATAATCCGATTTCCCGTGTGCACAGTTTTTTGTGGCTCGTGTATTCTGTTTCAATCATCCAGAAACGTTATTCCAATTTGTCGTGTGTCTGGATCGGAGCATTGGATCAGAGCACGCGTTCGCCTACTTTCTCCCACCTGACATGTACATATAATGCATTCTTGTCAAAGGAAAAAACGTTTTAGGCTTGTTAACAACATCATTCCATCCATGTGTCGTGTTTTGTACACACAAAAAGCGTTTTTGTTTCAGTAATGTTTTATATATGTGTGTGAAGAGCTAAGTGATTGAAAATGCAATCGACAGGCAGCTTCTTCAGCGGATCTGGAAAGCCGTGAAGATGTAATTGAAATCGATCGTTGATTACGTTTTTATGTGAGGTTTAGCCTGTTTTAAATCGACTGAAAATAGACTTTATTCTATTAAGGCTGTCCCAGTTTTATGTCTTTCATGTTATGGCAAGCTAACACTGACAACGATACTGAGATATACAACCAGCTGACAGCAATAATGTAATGCATTGTATTGATACACAGGACGCCAAGAAAAACGTTTTCTCGAAAGATTTGCGCACTCTTTATAATGAGATCCTTGTCCACAATGGTTCGTCTATTTGTCAGGGATTTGGAAGTTTGGAGAAACCAATCCGTTACAGGAATGTGCAGTCCAGACAAAGGTCTTCCCGTAGGATTTGGGTTTCGTTAAATAAGATTTATCCCAGCCAACAACAATTCGTCTCTTTGTCAGGCATTTGAAAGTTTTTGAACGACCCCATGGATAACAGTCCGTTGTTGGAATATACGAGGTGTATGTGATTACTCAGTCTGTCCACAATCATTATCAAGCCAGGGTATCCGTGGACTTTGCTTCAGTACAGTTTCATCCTGTTTCTTTCACTCAGTAGATAACTGGTTTAATGAGACTTTAACTGCACTCAGCAATATTCAGGCTACATGGCGGAGGTAGATAAATAGTCTGGGCCAGACAATCCAGTGATCAACAGCATGAGCATCGATCTACGCAATTGGGATACGATGACATGTGTCAACCAAGTCAGCGAGTCTGACCACCCAATCCCGTTAGTCGCCTCTTACGACAAGCATGGGTTACTGAAGACCAATTCTACCCCGGACCTTCACGGCCAGACATTACCAAGTCCCGTAAAGGTGAGTCAGTATCCAGTTTCCTTGTTGGTTCAATCAAATATCACGATATAATGCATATAAAGGCGTTCCATTGGGTTGGTTATTTCAATACATAAGGTGAAACTTAAATAATTCTAGAAAGGATATTTCGCGATTTTCTCAGAAGTGTAAAAATACAGGATGTCCTGAACAAGAACCCAATCAGACACCCGCCTGACAGCCCTCGTGGACCCTTGCTAGAATATGTCCAATGCGTGCAGATGAAATTTATCAGATTGGTTAACTGCATACGCACAGAAACTCACTTACACTCACTCATTCATACAAACGCTCATACACTAAAACACGCATGTACGTGCGCGTATCTCACACGCACCTACACCTACATAGATTCTAGATGAGTCTGCATGAGGCCAAATATCGACTGTGTATCGATGGTCAAGATCGCCATTAAATCGAATTGTAGTCAGGAGCGAGAACAATGCCGCAGTGTTGCTGATAGAGGGACTTTCGGCAGATCTGAAAGGAAGCCGTGGTGGCTGATGGTTCTAGGCATTTTCCGTCGTTGCATGGCGACATAATTCTCTGCATCATCGAAGATGATGGTACGAACCGATGCGAGTTATATTCCGGACACTTGACGTAATTTCCATAGACTTACATGTTAATTTAGTGTAGCATAAATAATTTTAATGAATTTCATTTTCGTAAGATCCAAGTCAAATTTTGCAAACTTGTGAGGGAATCATCTTACCTACAATCACATAATTTCTGTTTAATTTTCCGTTGCTTATTTATCGAATGGCAACAAGTTAATCAACATATGTACATTGACGTGCACTCCTTTAACATGGCGGCCTATGGGATTGTGCATTGTGGAACCATACGCAAGTTGATAAATGTGATGTCATTAGTTAAATAGTGGTCGGAGAATTGAACTAAAATTATGTGCGCAGAGCAGAGAACATTTCAAATTTGCCAGTCAAATTTTACATAGATCCATCCTAAACTCACTTCATGAAAATTATTTATGCGACCCTAAAATAACATGTCTATGGGCATTACGTCCAGTGTCCGAATATAACTGGCACGGGTCTGATTGGCAGGGCTAAGTTTCTGGTGGACGTTGTCGTGCGGTCATACCCTGTGACCACAATCGTCACCCAAATCCGGATCTGTTTGTTTGTTAGTTTGTTTAACGCAATCTTCGCGTGTTTGTAATCTTCCGTAAACTGTATAACGTCAGAGTGAACGAGTCGTGTTCAATTTTCCCATTATATCACGTGTGTCAATCAATCTGTATTCAGGAACTTGTCAAGCCACAGGCCTACAGTGCATATAGATGCTGCACACAATGCAATTTATGTGACCGGCATAAGCATCGATCCAAGTCACCAGGTCACCAAGTCACCAAGTCTGACCATCCGGTCTTACTGATATACGTGACGTACGACAAGCCTGGTTGTTGAAGACCAATTGTCTAGATGAACAAGAGATAAGCTTTCAAATCAACCATGGTGGAATGTAGTGACTCTAAGATGTACCAAACAAACGGAATGCAACCACTGAGGTGTTGGACGGAAGAATGACTGACTGACTGACTGACTGAGTTTGGTTTTACGGCGCTTTTAGCAATATTCCAGCAACATCACGGCGGGGAACACCAGAAATGGGCTTCACACATTGAACCCTTGTGGGGATTCGAACCCGGGTCTTCGGTGTGACGAGCCAACGCGTTAACCACTAGGCTACCCCACCGCCCCCAGAAGAATGAAATCAGCGACAGTGACGCAAGAGGGCGCGTCATCAATTCAAATAGAAATACCTCTTAGATATGTTTGGTCTGTAAAACAGTGTTGACATTGATGCATAAAAAAGTTTGAGAAGAATCCTTTTCCGCTTTTTGAAATTAGCCCAATTCTATGTTATAATTTGACATCACAAGATCCAAGGGAGAGGATCCAGAGGATAGTTACTCTGTTTTCCGGAACACAAACTGTAAACAATAGATGCGGTTCGGGCTGTGGCCAATGATGTCCCTACTAGTAGCTAACGCTACAGAATTAATTCACACCCTCCAGCTTCCCCGAAACTTGACCTCATCCACTTCCCTTTCTTCCACTGCCCTAATATTTGTCAATAAAATCACAAAACACCTTTTCATAATAAATAATTTATTATGTAAACAAAAACATAATAAAAATACCATTAATTGTATATCTAAACATATGTTTTTATACATTTTGCATAGCACTAGTGTGTGTAACACTTACATATATCAGGGATGCTATAGGTTGTAGATTATCCCTGCATATATGTAGGGACCATTTTTACATAACAAAACATAACAGCATATATATAATAATCTTTATGATAATAATTAACAAACAGTTTGGCACTGACTGAACACAGCTTGGCTTCAATGTTATATAAATAATCAATATGGATGGAACATGTCAATATACCTTCAGATAGCACACTTCAATATGAAGTATCCAATGAAAACTGTTTTTTTGTTGTGACAAACCATTTCATCAAAATATATTTTCAACATTTTTAAAATTATCATCTGAATGTTTTAAGAGAGGTTTTCTCACTGTATACTTAACTCACTCACTCATTCCACCTCTCTACCTATTAAACCACTTCTGTTCGCCACATTCCAAGGCAAGGAAGCGGACTACCCGGAGGCTGTTGTGTCTTCGTTTGTACAGGAGGATGGTGGTGCCTGTTTTGACCTGTCACGTCATGCTGTACATCCCTCACAACTAACGATCATTATAGTGAATGAGTGAGTGAGTATGGCTTTACGACGATTTCAGCAATATTCCAGCTATATTACGGCGGGGGGACAACAGAAATGGGCTTCACACATAGTAATAATGTGGAAAATCGAACCCGGGTTTTCGGCGTGACGAACGAACGCTTAAACCACAAGGTTATCCCACCGCCCCAATAATAATTATAACAATTAACGTATACACATAATCAATTGCATTAATTAATGCAAAGATGCTTCTAAATATCTGTAGGAGGAGTGGATGTGATTTCGTTGCGAGTGTCTATGAAATCGTGGAGACAGTCTTTTACTGAGAATCTGCCTGTTTCCCTAGGCCCCCTTCCCCCACTCCTCCTCCTTCTCTACCCCTCCTCCTCTATCCCCCTACAGCGCTGGAGATGAGGTCCAGCTCGGCCCTGACAGTGGTCAGTGACATCCTGTCTATGGGCAGCTGCTGGGTGCAGGACTGACTCACACTCTCCAACTCTGGGATCTGACTCTTCCTGCCAATATGTCCCAGGAGATGTCCCAGACTGTAGATGTCCGACAAGGGGCTAGAGTGGGACCCCATGCACACCTCTGGGGCCAAGTAATTATGATCATCAATATGAGGTCGGGAACACTCGAACTGAAGCCCTTGTCTGTAAGTAGCCATTCCTACATCGATGTATCTGATTTCAGGCAATCCAGAAGTTAGGTCCACAAGTACATTGTCACTCTTTACATCATTGAGGAGGACATGCTTAGCATGGATTGCCTGGAGTCCTTCAGCAAGCTGGCAACAGATGCTCATCCAGGTCGTCTTGCTCAGCTCATCTTGGCTTTGTAACAGTTTCAGGATGGTCAGGCCATTGCCGAAGTACTCCTGTACCAAGGAGTGTCCACCTTCGGATGCAGAGGACGTTATCAATCCCACAAACTCAGGGACGAAGTTGGTGTCTGTGAGGTACTTCAAGAGCCTGGCCTCGTGTTGGATCACTTCCCACGTGACGCCTTCATTGATATAGTCCTTCACCACAAGCTTCCCCTCTCGTCCAGACATCTCCGCCAGGTACACACGGCCGTACGCACCCTGACCAACACACACAAACATGCCATCATCTTTCCTAGCAAACCGCACATCCCTTTTCTCTAGAATTGGTAGGTCGATGTGGTCCAGATCCTCACTCATGGAAGGTAGAAGTGGGTAGCCGTTGACTGTGAAAGGTGAGACTCTGGGATCAAAGCCGAAGACACGGAGCATGACATCATCAGTGACTTTGATTGGCGATTCTTCGGCAACTTTAATCTCACTGACTACTTTGACAGCTGACAGAGTGTTCGAAATCTGTTTCTCACTGCGTGCAGATAGCAGTTTACCTACCACGGCTTTGTGGGACAAAAGTTTAGCTTTTTTCAAAGGACATCATCTGCTTCCTCATCAGCTCCTGTTGTTCCTGGGAGGACATATCTGAGGATGCATGTCCTGACACTTCGACAGATGGGACAGACTTCCTTGGTGAGATCTCCTGTGTCTGGGCTAGTTCCATTGCAAGACTCATTGTATTCCTTGTATATCCATGTTGGATTTGCAGTCCCATGCTTGCGGTCTGTAGTTCATCGGCAAGTGACATCATGTTTCTGGAAGATGATGCTTCATCACTGAAAGACCTGCGGATGAGGTTGTCAATAAAATGAGGATCTGTGTATTCAGTAGGGAAATCCTCGACCAGACTCAAGCCAGAGCGGCTCGTTGTTTTGGTAATCACATCATCCATGACATCATTTCTATGGGAATTCTCAAGTCTCATTTCTTGGGCTACATGGCGATTTTGTGGAGCGAGTTCATTAGCCAGGCAAATCTCATTTCTGTCCTCAGAAGAGTTGGTAAGTTCCTTGGTCATTGCTTTAAACCAGGTAGTTTCTCCAGCAGCAAACACGTCATACTCATCCACGTGATCATCAACGTCATCAGGAACAGACAATTCTCTCCGGGATGACTTTGGCTCTCCCTCGGGATTCAGTTGTCTCTGATGTGAGCCTCCAATGCATTGGTTCACTGGTGACCTTTCAGTGATGCTGACATTGGTACAATCACTGCTGTCCACAAACAACCTGGCTGCTGCAGATCTATATTTGGGAAAAGCCTTGGACGATTGTCTGTCAACAAACACATCAAATGATTTGATCTCCCTTTGTTCATAGAAGGATGGTGGAATGAGCTCATACTTCTTCGTCACAGATGGTTCAAGGACGCCTTTTGGTGCTGCTGATGGTGACTTGGAGAAGAAGTCTGGAGTCAGCAGTAGAGGAGTTGCATCAGCTGAGTCTTTGCCAAGGCCTCTTGTGTCACAGGTCTCAGTTTCTGTGTTCACAGAGTCCAGTGAGCCACCGACCTGAACATCAAGAGTTTGAGTTGGATCCGTCTGACAGGCGACGTCCACCTGGGCAGGTGAAGCTTGAATCTCTACCTGGCGGGTACTGGGAGAGACTTGGATCCCGTTTGATGTGGTGGCAACAGAGGCTTGCGTAGCACAGGAGGTGGTACTAGTGGATGTCTGACTGCCACAGGAGGTGGTACTGGTGGATGTCTGACTGCCACAGGAGGTGGTACTGGTGGATGTCTGACTGCCACAGGAGGTGCTGGACGCTGCCTTGCTACAACAGGTGGAGTGAGAGGTAGTTTTCTGCCCATCGACCTGTGTGAAGATCTGGAGACACGTGTCCTTGGTTTGAAGATGTTTCAGGATGATCTCCTTCAGTTCATCTGCACTCACCACACTAACTTGTCCTGAGTTGCCTGGGAACAGGTTACCTGTGCACATTTTGTTGGAAGACAGTGGCACGAAGACAACAGTGGATCGGCTTCCGTCTTCCCTCACTGCTGAGAAGGTGGTTCCTTTGGGGGTCCTCAGCCATGCTTCATCGCCACAGCCACTTTGGTCAGAACGAGGCTGGTAGCCATTTGGATAGATGTATGAAGAGGGAATGGCGTTCCAGCTTCGACACGTGACGTTCATGCTGGCGTCCCCTAGCTTGACTTGCATTCTGTAAAACAAAAGATTTCTTTCATTGTACAGTGCACACACACGCACGCACGCACGCACGCACACACAGAGAGGAATAATTCACAATTAGTATTTGCTTTGGATAAGTGGGCCAAAATGGACATGTTGATGTATTTTATTTTCTCAAAAGTCTAAGTTGGCAATGTGTTAGTGAGTGAGTTTAGTTTACGCCACACTCAGCAATATTCCAGCTATATATATATGGCGGCGATCCGTAAATAATCGAGTCTGGACCAGACAATCCAGGGATCAACAGCATGAACATTGGTCTACGCAATTGGAAGCAATGTAGTTAAGCATAATGGTAGTGAATGAGTGAGCATGGTTTAATGCTGCTTTTACGACGCTTCACACATTGTACCCATGTGGGGAATCGAACCCGAGTCTTCGGCGTGACGAGCGGAACAACTAGGCTACCCCACCGCCCCAATATTAGCATCAATCTAGTATGCATGAGACAAACCACTGCTGTAGAGCAAGTTATTTTTGTTTGTTTGCTCTTAAACGCCGCACTCAGCAATATTGCAGCTACATGGCGGCGGTATGTAAGTAATCGAGTCTGGATCAAATAATCCAGTGATCAACAGCATGAGCATCGATCTATGCAACTGAGATACGATGAGAATATTGTGTCAACCATGTCAGCGAGTATGACCACCCGATCCCGTTACTCGCCTCTTACGACAAGCATGGGTTGGTGAAGACCAGCCAGTTCTAATCCGGATCTTTAACGATCTTTTCGAACCTTTGCTTAGGTCTTCAAAAGCTCGTAGAAATCAGTTTTCCAGTTGATAACTGATCCATATTATACAGCTGGGCTACAAACATTTAACAAAACTAGCAATACAATAATTAATTCAATTATCAGCATATCTAAAAAGCGGCATTGGAAGTGTTAAATAGTAAACCTCTTGTAATGGTGTATATATCCACGTCAGTGGGTGCAGCACGGGGGCAGTGGGGTAGCCTAGTGGTTAAAGCGTTTGCTCGTCACCGCGGAGACCCGGGTTCGATTCCCCACATGGGTACAGTTTGTGAAGCCTATTTTGGCGTCCCTCGATGTGATATTGCTGGAATATTGCTAAACGCGGCGTACAACTAAACTCAGACGGACAGAGGGAGCAGTGCGGCCAAGCTAAAAGTGATTAAAAGTGGTTCCATGACACTTACCATGAGCACTCTCGCTGTTCATTCTATCTTTACAATTGTTGCCATAACGACCGGAGATTTGCGTTAAATTTTTCACTTACCTTTCACTCAGTGAGCGGGCGTCCTTTCTGGTCCACAGATTTTTCTCATTTCTGGCCATTTCAGAGCATATCTGAATTTCTCTTCGAGTAACCTAAAAATAATACAATACACACACATGACAGATTGAAACATTTACTGATATAGCTTTCCTAACTTCAGCAGTGATCGGTTGAAATGCAGAAAGCCAAATATTACCATTACAATAATGCAATTGTTCAAATGGAGATTGGTTTAGTATAAGGAGATCATTTGATGACCAGTTATATAATGTAATATTGCAGTTCACGCCAAGTCTCAATCATATCTTCTTTAAGACAAATGTCCAAATTAGCTATAAACCCCTGACAATCCGAATAGTAACGTCCCTATTGAATTAGTTACGAATAACAAATCCCTGAATTGTTATAGATTGCTGTTGTCTAACTCATTGTAGTAACTTGTATGTGCATCCGACTTGTAAGGTGTCCGGACAAACGAGTGCCATACTATAGACCATTCTTAATGAGACCTCACGGCTGCTTCATATAACATACCCTTACTAGTATGCAGGACAAAAGGACTATAGCGTTTCTGTTATTTACCTTGTAGATGGCGTTGATAGTCTTCAGTACCCCCGACTGTCTCCAAGGGGCGTCTCCTCCCGTCGCAATAGACGGGGGATCCCTTCCTCCCAAACCTTCAACTTGTAAAGCTTTCATTTTGAAGAGCTGATAAACCGCATGTGAGGCCGTAAAGATCAACACAGTTGCTAATGACCCTTCTGTCTTGTCCGACTTGGAAACATTCTATGACGTCATAGCCTTGTGACGTAACATAACTTTGTGATGTCATAACTATAGACATCGTCGCTTTGCTCATTGCATTGGAAATTTACGATCGCAAAGAGTAACACAAACATCCATATCCGTTGAGATCGCACACTTTTAGCAGGTTATGTCATAATAAATGCATAGTGTTGTTTAATTTGATCTTTTGGAAAACGTGTTTGCTTATCTGATCTTTATATTGCAGAAATGAATGTATGTTGGTGCAATTCTGTGCAAATCTAGTATGTCGGTCTTTCTAGACGATAAAAATAACATTGGTTTGTTTCTTGCTTTACGCTGCACTCAGAAATATTACAGTTATATGAAGGCAGTATGTTAATAATCAAATCTGGACCAGGCAATCCAGTCTGATGTCGTTAGTCGCCTCTGAAAACAAGCATGGGCTTGATGAAGGCCAATTCTATCCCGGAACTCCACAAGTGGATGGGGCGGTGGAGTAGCCTAGTGGGTACGGCGTTCGCTCGTCACGCCGGAGACCCGGGTTCGATTGCCCACATGGGTACAATGTGTGAAGCCTATTTCTGGTGTCCCCACCATATTGCTGGAATATTGCTTAAAGCGGCGTAAAGCTAAATTCAGTCAGTCAGTCCACAAGTAGATAAAAATACGAGAAACGACAGAACCGTGATTCTAATGTGTGACTTTCCATGCAGGTAACCTTTAGTTTCACTGAGTGAGTGAGTGTCTACTCACTAACAGCTTTGATATTGCTGGAATCTGACAGTGTACTCACTCACTCTACTGTTTCAATGGGACTCCCAATATTTATAGACCGCCTCCGTGGTGTAGTGGTTAGAGCGTCCGCCCGGAGAGCGGAAGGTTACGGTATCGATCCCCGACCGCGTCATACCAAAAGACGTTAAAATATGGTACTTGTTGGTCCCTGCCTGGCGCTTGGCATTAATGGGTACAACAAGGACTGGTCGGCTTGGAGTCAGTATAATGTGTCTGAGTGGGGTATTCATGCTTCACTGCGGCATGGTATCTCAGTGGGCTAGCACTATCCTAAGATAAGACCCCAAACCTCGATTCCCAAGATGGGTAGTTTGTGTGAAGCTGATTCCAGGCGTCCCCTGCCGTGATATATTTCTGGAATATAACAGATACGTAAAACAACA